TTATTTTATTTTGTAGCGAGTAAGTAAATAAAATAATAATAATGAAAATAATGTGTGAAATGAGTTTCTTTTTTTTTTACTTTTCACTCTATCTACATCCATGAAACCTGCAAAGTTACAATTATTGGTTAAATTGTGGATTGTAGATGGCATGTGCCATGCTGGTCACGCTGGACAATTCTTCTAGCCATGTAGTCTTCACTCTCATCCAGGATATTACCACATTATGTTACCCTTAAGCAGGCAACATGTGTACCACCCTGTATAATCTATCTACACCACCAAATGACCCAGGGTTTTGATGGCGTAAAATAAACACGTTTCAAGTGCTTGTTAGCCATCATGAACCTCTAGCAATAATGACACAATGTTTTCATGACTCAACTCATTTTGTTTAGAAAGCATATAAAAATGATCAGCTAATCACATTTTGACAGACGTTTACACACCAGCCATAGTCTGCTCGCATGTGTACAAATTACAGAAATCATTAAATGCCTCATCTACAGCATACTCACAATCACCCTCTTCAACTATGCGTTTCAGCTTGCGCAATTTGGCCCGTACATTAATTTGGCCTTTAAGTTCAGAAACTAACACATCGATTGATGCATGTATTTTTACAGGAGCGGTGTGAGGGTGAAACATGGCAACCGCTTTTGTGATAATATGTTTAAGCTGTGGCCTATACAGCTTTTTGAACAGCTTTTCAAAATTGTTAAAGAAGTAAAACGGTACAGGTTCATAGAGGCACGTGTGCTGAAGCCGGTTAGGGTGTTTCACAGAACAGCCGATACAGTTCGCCTTCAAGTCATCTTCGAGGAGCTGATCCAGAATAAAGACAAGTGACCCTTTGATTATCTTCATGGCAGCGTCGGTGATGCCGCCATCCACAGAATCTTCAGATAATGATGGGCTCGCAAAACGATCGCGGAAATCATCCAACATCGAAGCAGTAACCCACAATGTCCGCATGCGGAGGTTGTTGTGACTGGAACAGAACCCCATACGGGGCCCATGATGCGGTCCGCCGCGGGGTGTGTTGAGTAAGCTCTGGTGGCGGTGTATCCATTCGCTGCCCAAAAGTATAGGGGGTCATGGATGGGGTTCGCTGAGGGTTAAGTTGAGGAGAAGACTTGTTGCGCAGTATCGCCCCAAAAGTAAATTCAGACGGGGCATCCAGGAAATGTGGGTGTGCGGAAAGGTCTGAGGGTGTGTCTCGTCCAGGTGATGATACCCAATGAGATGAAAGAAGGCCGTACTTAAACATATTATCACAAAAGTGGTCGCCATGTTTCACCCTCACACCGCTCCTGTAAAAGTACATGCATCAATCAATGTGTTAGTTTCTGAACTTAAAGGCCAAAATAATGTACTGGCTAAATTGCGCGAGCTGAAATGCATACTTGAAGAGGGTGATTGTGAGTATGCTGTAGATGAGGCATTTAATGATTTCTGTAATTTGTACACATGCGAGCAGACTATGGCTGGTGTGTAAACGTCTGTCAAAATGTGATTNCAGAACCAACTCAGGTCTCCACAAAGGGGCAGAATAATCCCCTGACCTGAGAAGATCGGCAGGGTAGTCCACACCTGTCCGACAGAAGAAGCAGAAGGCCTCATCCGGCATCAGACCACCGAGACCAGGATGAAGACGACCAAGATAAAAAGGGGGGCTTTGGGGGGGAGTTATATTACATGTGATGATTGCTTTGTTTATGATTCTGTGGGGAGGACTCCTGCTGCAGTACACCCGAGGGACGAGCACAACCTTCCTTTTCGACTTACGCGATGTAATCAATTGTGGGGGGCAGAACGCCTCGTACAGGGGCTATGACATCTGGCTTTGTGCCAGCCCAGGATTCCATGAGGGCTGTAAGGCAGGCAGAAGCACGGGATCGCCACACTGCCCCGGGTGGGACCAGGTGGCCAAGTACACCGGCCCGTGGTGGGTTCCGTACGGACCCCTCCACCATGGTCGTGGGGGCCAAGAATACAAGGCATGGTGGGGTAACATCACTTTCTCCAGGGAGGGACACACAGGGAAGTCAGGACTAAACCCCTATCCCTCTCTATGGGTGGTTTCTATGCGGGCACAGACAAGGAAGAGAGCATATACAGTACCTCACCCTGGGCGCAGATGTGAGCGGCACAGACCCCTGGGGAATCATGTGTTGGACCTGAGATCTACTGGGATAAGCTTGTTAATTTGCTTTTAGGACACTAAAGGTTTGGAATAACACTTACTTCTTTTATGATTCTGTCATCACCCAGTAACAAGCAGCTGCGTGCTTTATACAGATGGCAGCTACCTTGAGAAGGGGAGTGTGTATCAGGGCCAGAACAGATATTTTATAGGTCCTGTGTTCAACACCGTTTCTTAAAGGGTAGATAATGAGCAAATCTGGTAAAGGGGATAAGGGAAAACCATCCCCAAGGCAGATAATGGAACAGGTGACTGGCCTGAGACTAAAGAAGGCTTGTAACACATCGTCAGATTGGGGGTAGATGGCCAAAGGAGGGCACTCTAAACATACTGGAGCTAGAATGTTGTGAAACAATGCTAGAAAGTAGGGGAAATGGTTGTTGTGGTAAGGGAATGTGCAGGCCAGAATATTACTATCAGTGGTAGTCTGTGGCCTTGAAGAGAGATAGGAAAGCTAGAGTGGAGCAGCGGAGAGGTAAAGTTAGCAGAGAGGAAAGGGGGGGGGATCCGACTGCTGCTGTTTCTCCGCCTGAAGCTGGTGATGAGAAGAGGAAAAAGCCCCTAACAATACGGCTCCAGACGGATCGGTCACGAAGGCTCTGGAAGGACTAAAGACGCTGTCCAAAACCATGCATGAGCACTCGGGCGTAGACTGCATCTGGGATGGCTGGATGGTCTCGATGACTGGATGCTGCTGTAACCCTTGCCTGTGAGCCCTGTCCGTACGACTGATCACGTCCACCATAGAGAAACGTGACCCAAGTCTACCACACATGATGGCCCTCCTCGCCCCTTCCGGATGGGGAGGAGCTGAGCGAAGAAGACTTCCACCATAAGTAGTGATCTCCTAGCGGAGATCAAAAGAGGGAGTCACAATTTCCCCAAAATCACAGGTGATCTCTTTTCAGAGATCAAAAGGGGGAATTGTGGATATAGATATTTGCAGGGGAACAAGGACATCAGCTCGCGGGTGTGGGCTAGGGTGGCACAAAATGTTTTGTGCGTGCCAAAGTTAATTTATTGACGCAGGCTGCTTGTGAGAGTTGCTATAATTTCAATGCAATGGGATCCAGTAACTTCAAAATGGGTGTATATTCTACAACTACCTGACATATACAGGAATTTTACTCATTTTTAACATCTAATGTTAAATAATATCTATGGGCTGATATTTGTGCCACTAGAAACTGAATATGAATTTTGTATATTTGAATCTGCAGTTATCCGCATTACAAAACTGAATCTGAATTGAATAGTTTGAATCTGAATTCCAGTAACTCGAAATAGCATTTATCCTACCTCGAAAAATTCAGTTTGCAAATTCAATTTCAATCTAGTGTGACACACATCTGGGTCCTTGAGAAAAAGTAATCGACCGCAGATTCACAACTTGGAAACTTGAGCAGGTGACACAATCTGTGATCTAGTGACCCACGTCCTGCTTACAGAGGAATTGAAGCATTACACACATGAGCAGGTGAGGAACATTGCCATTTTAACGTTTTTTGTAGTACTCTATTTTTTTAGCTAATTATTGCTTTCATTTAAATTGTTGCTTTTCATTTACAGTCTTCTATTTCAGATTTGATCAGTGATTCCACTGCATCTATAGTATTCTCTCTATGGGTCCTTTTACAGTGACATCACGTGTAGCACCATGATGAAATATGCAGTACAATATCTAATAGATGTATGAACAACTAAACAGAGAAACTATTGGTATCTTTTGTTTGGATGATATAAATAAATGTCTCCATGATTCTGTAAGTACAAAGTTCTTTAAAAATATGAATGTGAAATGCAATGATTTGAATGTTGGACAGCCTGTGTTACAAGTGGTGACCATTTTGAGTTTTGAAAAATGATATTAAGGTTCTAAAACAATCATATCCTCAAAATTCCAAAGCAATCATAAAACTGTAATATACCATCCACTAACATCATAATTGTGTTTTTAATTTATATTTTCTTAATATTGTTTTTCAGTATATTGTTTGTGAACTAATTACTGTTCATGCACTATATTTAGTTGTCTGCAATGTTGTCTTTTTTACACTATTTGTATGTTCATCTGTGCTTTATGTGTCTTGCTGCTGTATGCACAGGAGCTTCCCCCTAGGATCAATAAAGCTTATGGTCCCTGCTGTCTAGCTAGATGAACAGCTCATTAGTCCTGGTTACCCTGACACTGGTGTACCTGTACTCTAGGGTTTAGTGCATGTGTATGCGTGACACTGCCTCTCTGCTTCACACTTTGAACAGGATCTGCAGCAGCTGCAGAAGCAGCCAGTAGCACTGGAGTTTGAAGCAGTTGCACAACCGCTGGAGGGGTCTGGGAAGGTTCTGGGTGCTTTTTCCCTGGAGTAAGGCTAAATGTAAATGGATAGCATCTCCCTGGACAGGGTGCAAGGCCTCCAACCCCCCAGGGATTTGAAATTGTATAAATCTACAAATGAAAACTTGCATAATCATTTAACAAAGTAAATGCTTTTCCCATGACACTAGTGTATAGGACTTCCACCATTTAATTCCTTCTAAAGTTAAATTTTGGTATTTTTGTCTGTGTTACTTAACCCTTTTAGTTAAAAGCAAATCAAAGCTGAGTATCCCCTACATTTCTAGCACTGAAAAAGGCTGCTAACATATTGCATTTATCAACTGTAAGAAGCTCAGATGAGTTGTGTAGGCAGAGGTTAATCAGTCTATGAAAAACGAATTAAGTTGGCTCTGTCTGGGGGGGGTGAGTTCAAGAGGAGAAAGAGAGAGCATAAGGTTATCAACTACATCAGCAGAATTAGCTGTAAGGTAGCATTTAGTTACATTCCTATCATTCCAGCTCATGGTGCACAATGGCATCTCAAAAGACACAATAGTAGCCAGAAACCAAAACATCTGAGAAAGCTTGATGTCCAAATGATGAGATATCACTAAATATGCCAACTGCAGCTTTCAATTCCCAAACTTAGTCCTTTGACCATAGAACATACTAATCTATTTCACCTCCCAATCAAAAAGCATTAACTATTAAATGACTCAATTTAAATCAGATGTATTCAAATGTCAAGTCAGCTGGTGTAATTTTTGAACAGTTTCTAATTCTAGCTGTTTTATAGTTGAAGACTACCTTCAAAATATATTGTAGCCATTAAACAATGCCTCTGAATCTTTGTAAAACAAATACTACACATCAACAGGACTCATGAGGGGAAGTCAACATACAGGTATTTCACATAAAGTCTAACAAATACACATATACATTTATTGGACTGACTGTGATAACGAAATGTCAATAATGCGAGTCTGCTGGTGTCGATCTATATGTCCTAATCGATTGAAGCTCTTCCCACACTGGGTGCAGTGTTAAGGCCTCTCCCCTGTGTGAATCTGCTGGTGTCTCTTTAGGTTTCCTAACTGACTAAAAGTCTTTCCACACTGGGAGCAATGGTAGGGCCTCTCCACTGTGTGAATGTGCTGGTGTCTCTTTAGGTTTCCTAACTGACTGAAAGTCTTCCCACACTGGGAACAATGGTAGGGCCTCTCCACTGTGTGAATCTGCTGATGTCTCTTTAGGTTTCCTAACTGACTAAAACTCCTCCCACACTGGGAGCAATGGTACGGTCTTTCTCCAGTGTGTGTCCGCTGGTGCATCTTTAGGGTTCCTAATAGACTGAAGTTCTTCTCACACTGGGAGCATTGGTAGGGCTTTTCCCCTGTGTGAATCTGCTGGTGCTCTTTTAGGCTTCCTGACCGAATGAAGCTCTTCCCACACTGGGAGCACTGGTAGGGCCTCTCCCCTGTGTGAATCCACTGATGTCTCTTTAGGGTTCCTAATCGACTGAAGTTCTTCCCACACTGGGAGCACTGGAAGGGCTTCTCCCCAGTATGAATCTGCTGGTGCTTCATTAGGGTTCCTAACCGAATAAAGCTCGTCCCACACTGGGAACACTGGTAGGGTCTTTCCCCTGTGTGACTCCGCTGGTGTATCTTCAGATTTCCTGACTGACTGAAGCTCTTCCCGCACTGGGAGCACTGGTAGGGCCTGTCTCCTGTGTGAATCCGCTGATGTGTCTTTAGGTGTGCTAATCGACTGAAGCTCTTCCCACACTGCGAGCACTGGTAGGGCCTCTGTCCTGTGTGAATCCGCTGATGTGTCTTTAAGGTTCCTAACTGACTAAAGCTCTTCTCACACTGGGAGCACTGGTAGGGCCTCTCCCCTGTGTGAGTCCGCTGGTGCTTCTTTAGGGTTCCTAATAGACTAAAGCTCTTCCCACACTGGGAGCACTGGTAGGGCCTTTCCCCAGTGTGAGTCCGCCAATGTGTCTTTAGATTTCCTAATCGACTGAAGCTCTCCCTACACTGGGAGCACTGGTAAGGCCTCTCCCCTGTGTGAATCTGCTGGTGTACCTTTAGGTTTCCTAACCGACTAAATCTCTTCCCACACTGGGAGCACTGGTAGGGCCTTTCCTCTGTGTGAAGCCGCTGGTGCCTCTTGAGGCTTATTAATTGACTGAAGCTGTACATAGACTGGGAGCATTGGTACGGTCTTTTCCCTCTGTGGAACCACTGGTGTTTCTTTATGGTTCTTAATCGACCAAAGTTCTTCCCATACTGGGAGAACTGGTAGTGCCGTTCCTCTGGGTGAATCTGCTGGTGTCTCTTTAGGTTTCCGAATCGAGTGAAGCTCTTTCCACATTGGGAGCACTGGTAAGGCCTTTCCCCTTTGTGAGTCTGATGGTGCTCCATTAGGGTTGCTGACCGGATGAAGCTCTTGTCACACTGGGTGCACTGGTAGGGCCTCTCCCCTGTGTGAATCCGCTGGTGCCCCTTTAGGATTGCTAAAAGATTGAAGCTCTTCCCACACTGGGAACACTGGTAAGGTCTCTCCCCTGTGTGAGTCCGCAGGTGTCCCTTTAGGTTTCCTAATTGATTGAAGCTTTTCCCACACTGGGAACACTGGTAAGGCCTCTCCCCTGTGTGAGTCCGCTGGTGTGCCTTTAGGTTTCCTAATTGATTGAAGCTTTTCCCACACTGGGAGCACTGGTAGGGCTTCTCCCCTGTGTGAGTCTGTCTGTCATTTTTACAGCCTNCAGAGACTAAACAGCAATTGCTTTCAGTCCCAGGCATGATTGGCTATTGCAGGCCTTGGATTCAGGACTATGCACAGAGATCACAGCCCTTGGTTTGACAATTGAGCTAGCACTGACAGACAGACTGACGTGGACGCCCGAAGCTGAAGATGCCCTGATTGATTTAAAACAGATATTAATGTCAGCTTTGGGGGTACCTGACTATAGAAAACCATTTGTGCAATATGTGGAAAAATAAATAAATAAATAATAAGAAAAAAAGGGTTCATAACTTCAGTCCTGACTCAGTATCACGGGGGGAGGTGCAAACCGGTTGTATACTACTCTAAGCGTTTGGACTCGGTGGCTCGAGCATCACCCCCTTGTCTTCCAGCAGCTGAGGCAGTGATGGCAAGTGCAGATCTAGTGCAGCTGCATCCACTGACACTTCGAGTTCCCCATGCAGTGCACGCGATCCTGACACAGGCCACGACATCTCATTTGACGCAGGCGCAATCGGTGCATTATCAGAATGTTTTGCTAACACTTGCAAATGTGACTGTGGAAAGGTGCTCTACTTTGAATCCAGCGACCCTCCTTCCCACAGGGGTGGACGGGGGATTGTTTGCAGGTCATTGACTGTGGCTGCAGACCTAGGCCAGGTCTGACTGACATCCCACTGGAAGGAGGCAACATCCTGTTTGTTGATGGGAGTTATTTGCGGATGGAGGTTGGATCGCCAGCGACCTCCTATGCTGTGGTGCAAGATGGATCACTTGTGGACAGAGGGCAGCTGCCTAGACATTGGTCCGCACAGGCGGCTAAGCTGTTTGCACTGCAACAGGCCTGCAAACTGGCTGAAGGACAGAAAATCACTATGTACACAGACTCAAGATACGCCTTTGGGGTGTGTCATGACCATGGTGCATTGTGGAAGCAGAGAGATTTTCGCACCTGCACTCGAAAGCCCATTCAGCATCCTCAGTTAGTGGAACAATTGTTGGACGCTCTCATGCTACCCGAACAGGTGGCAATATTGAAGTGCCAGGCCCACACAAAGCGGACTGATGAAATCAGTTAGGGGAATGATCTTGCAGACCAGTCTTCTAAAAGTTTAGCTGAAGACTCCACTGGGTTTGGGAATAAGGTTTTACTAGCAATGGATGTGGCATGTGGCGACATTCTGGGACTAACCGACCTTATCTTCCTAGATCTGCATATCCAGGGATGGCCGAAGCCGTTCATGGCCTGGATCATGTGTCTCGTGACGGGATGGTGGCAGCTGTGACTCGGGTGTGGCATACCCCTGGGTTTGCTGCAGCTACTGCCCAATTCTGTGGGAAGTGTATGGTGTGCATGAAATTCAATGTGGGGAAGGGCATTCCAACCGACCCGGCAGTGACCCCGAGTCCCCAAAGCCCGTTCGATCACCTGCAGATGGATTTCATTGAGCTAACGCCGTGCAGGGGATACGAGTATTGCTTGGTGATTGTAGATCTGTTTTCCAGATGGGTGGAGGCATTCCCTTGCCGTCGCCCTGATGCTCTGAGCGTGGCTAAATGTCTGCTGAAGGAGGTGTTTCCTCGATGGGACATTCCATCTAAAATCACCACAGACAATGGTCCTGCGTTTGTCGCAGAGACCCTGGCAAAATTGTCCCGTTGGATGCAAATTGATTTGAAACATTATTGCACCTATCACCCCTCGAGTGGTGGAGAGCCTCCTTGTCCATGCGGGGATGATCTTCTCCTTCCTGCCTGGCCTTACGAACCACAGCCCCAGGTTGTCATCAGTATGACCAGGAACGCCGACTCTGCTGGTGACTCGTGGTCCATCCAACCGCTGCCAGCGCCCATTGCCCCACTGCGCTTTTGTCCGGAGTATTACTTTGCTGTAAACTCTGATTCTGTGTGAACAGCGCGGATTTCGCGTGTTCAAAAGGGGGGAGTGTGGAAGTAAAATTGGACATTAGTAGGCCCAGGAGAGGAGGCATATTGGGTCTGTTATGTCTTAGGCCTTAGGCCAGAAGAGATTGTTTTGAATACTATGTGAACTCGCTTTGTGATAGCTGCCTGCAGTTGGCTCCGCAGAAGCTCGGACCTTGGAGGGGCAAAGGGGGGGAGAAACCACTTGCAGGAA